GAGAAAAAGAAAATGTGCGCGCGCACTGTTTTCTCTTGCTTATATCCCCCACTCAACTCCCGTTCACCTCGCCCGAACACACTTAATGTAACCCAAGTCAAGCGAGCGTAAAGAAGTATCACTTCAAAAATATTACACCTACATTTTGGAAATACAGGCCATATCATAGAGGTGAATAACAAAAAGGAAGTTAAAAAATATGCTATGATTCGATACTTGGTTGTCAGAAAATCTTTTTGTCGATGTGTTATTTCCTCTTCTTACGCTATGTCATGATGTTATTAATTTGGTAGTATTATAAGGCAGGGACGATTATAAAGAAGCATTATATTTTTTATTATGCAACATTATAAACAATTATATTGCTTCTTTGTAAAAAAGCTTTCTGTCTTGTCTTAAAATATGAAATAAAAAACTTAATTATGGGAGGCTGTTCCAAAACCAAAAAAATGCAGCTATAAGAAAGAATGCATATGAGGTAAACAAATTCACAGAACCATAAGTAATTAACGTTTTTAATTACCTGTCTTGTTAAGAACATTATCCCACGTAACATTAGCTTGCAGGTAATAACAATAAAAAAATATTTCATAAATTGTAAAATATTCTACTACTACTTTGCTGGCTCAGCGAACCGAAGTGGATCTTGGCCTCCGACACCAGATGACGCCACTATTCCCTATAATGTATAGCTTCTTGTAGGTCGACTGATACCCAGATCAGGTCAACTGGTCCTTTTGGCCTTTGTCCTTTGTGACCCAGCCAGCGGAGTTTATGAGCCTTAGTCTCCCTCATAATTTTGGGCTGTGCCCCCAGATCTTCTCTCATTTTTGTGGATTCACCAGCTGCCGTCTTTTCTTTTGGTTGGTGCCAGAATTTTCCGCCAAATCTTCCTTTCCGTTTCTAGAAGTTTGTTTTCATCCTTCATAGTTAGCGTCCATGCCTCATAGCTATACATCAAGATCGGGCGGATGACCGTCTTGTAGATACAGATCAATCGAATCTTAGCGGAAGCTGCTAGCTTTCTGGGAAGTTTGGACACCAGCACCGAGTGGAGACCAGCACTGCATCGCAAAGTGTTCTGAACGCGTATATTGATTTCTTGCTGTCTCGAGTTTACCAGTTTTTTTATGAGTCAATGATAAATAAAGGAAAATCTACCTCAAACTTATTTGGCTCGTATGCTAATATTGTTTTATCAAATAAGTGCTTGCATTAGGTACTTATTTTAATGATTATTTTTGCACTTCAGTGGCTGTACCGTGAAATATTTGCGCGAAGCAGTTGTAATTGTTGTGGGATTGCTTCATTATGCTTTAATATTACTGGACTTTGAGTAGAGGGCATGTATACTTTCGTGCCATATTATTTTTAAATGTTGGTAAAACATTAAAAATGTGCCTTAATATGAGATGAATATGCATGACTGGCATTGGTTAAGTCCTCGTTTGGATTATGTTATTTAAATTAAATTTTGCGCACAAATACGTGCGTATATTAATACGCACAAATACATGCGTATATTAATACCCACGTATTTGACAGCTCCAAGTTAAATACTAACTATCCGCAAGGCACGACCATCCATCCATCCGGTGATGATGATGAATCTGATACTGGAGTCATTGTGAACTCCCTAGCCATAAATACTCCAAAGCTGGTCCAGAACATAAGCCGCGGGTTAAAGAAAATGTCTAGAGAAGAGATCAGAAATTTAGAAGCATCCTTGGAGTTTCTTGCATTCTTCTTGAGATTCGAGAGGTCCGAATCCCGGTAGGGTTAGATGTTTGTGTGATGAAAACGACCATTTCTACTCCAGTCATGGATGTTTAATATGTATTTCTATATAAATATACTTACATATATACAGTATATGTATTTTACCCGTTACCCTAGCATCCCATAACACAAGCCTTACAGTGCTTACTTTAGGGCTAGGCTAATTGGTGTGTGTGTTGGAAATATTTATTTATTTAATTTCACGTTACACTGAACTTTCTGTTGATCGGTGACACAAATATAGATTTAAAATCGGTAAAATCATAGAATACATTCACCCATACTTATAAATACTAAGCGAGCGCGGACTGATGTGTGGAATCAATCACAGATAATACAAGAATCGAGCCTAACTAAGATTTGGTAACAAAAACATATATAGATAATATATTTGCGTGTTTCCCCACATTACGTCCATACTCGGCTACGCTTGACGTAGTACTAGCCGACCATCGGGCAATAATTTTTTGCTGCACTAGCGATATAACCGATGTTTGCGTACAGGATATTTCAAGAACAACAATATACCACGATTTATTATTTAATAAATTAAAGAGCGTTGAATGGCCCAAGACTATCTGAATGGAATGACTCAATGAAAATTTTACGTTGAAAGATTTTTATTTGAAGACCTTGGAATGCACCTAACTGTATCCTATAAACACAGTACCTACTTTGTACTTTATGAACTATTTAAGCTTGTCCTCTGTGGTTTTTCTAATGCTGGAAAGATAAAATATTTAACTACTGTTTATAACGATAAATAAAAAAAATGTTCGCAAAATTGGATTGCGGAACCACATACACCGCGACACGCAGATCCTCCCTGCTCATAGAGGTTTTCGCGTGTATCTCCGCAAATTCAAGCTGGCTGACAGCACTCTATGCCCCTGTGGAGACGGGAAGGATGAGACAGTGGAGCACATCTTGTACGACTTCCCCAGATTCGCTTTTGCCCGCAGTCTGTTTAGATCCATTCTCCATGTTTTAATGGAGGAGAGCAGATCCAGGGAATCGGCCGAGAAATTCTATAGAGCAGTGATGTTAAGTGAGGGACGCCAAAACGAAACACGTTTAATTCAATTCAAAATAATGAAACATTTCCGTACTATACACTAATTTATTAACTTTATTATTCAACAATCCAATTTATAACTTAGTATATTTATATAATTTACCTTATTATTATTTTATTTTTATAGTTTTAATTAATTTAACCAATAGAATAAGTATACACAGATTTATACTATTTATACAGACTATTTTAAATAGTTTTTTTTATTTTGTTTTTCAATGCAAGGTATTCACTGTTAATGTTTTCTTCTAAGGAATTTTCAATGAGTAAGATTTTTTTAACCAAAGTTGAACGACTATTACTCTTAAACTAATAAATCTACCTTAACCGTTATAATTTTCCTTAAAACTTCATGAAACGCACTGCTATCATAAATTTTTACAGGTTTTTCAAGTAAATAGTTTAGCTTTTAGAGGGGAGGCGAAAGCCCTACCCGAACAAAAATTAGCACTTTAAAGTTCAATATTTCGCAAACGGATCCCTAAATCAAACCCTTTTATAATTTTAAAGAACCTATTCAACGATATCCCACTCAATGGGGTAGACGATGAAAAAATAAATCATCCACAGGTTACATGTGGGGGACCTACCCTAAAAATGTTTAAAAAAATTATTCTACTATTTTGTCGACGTGATTAAAATACATATTTTCACAAAGTTACAGCTCTCTTGTACTAACAGTCTCCAAGCAAAACCCGGGACGAACAGATGGACATGACGAAACTATAAGGGTTCCTTGTCTGGGCTACGGAACCCTAAAAAACTACCCTCAAGGAAAAGATTGTCCTGACCTATTCTATGTTTTTCCTTCGCTATTTCTCAGTTCAGTATATGAGACTAAGAACTTACCACGACACAAATTAATCAAAGTCTTAAAATGCTATAAACTGCAATTATATTTGACAGCAAAGCTGTTATTGCAGTTCCAGAATTAAGATTGACTAAAATAACATGATCTATTCTTCCTATACCATCTATAGGGAAAGCCTGGGCCTCATCGGTGGAGGCATTAAATAGTCTGATAACAATAAAGTTCATTTATCTCCATTAAAACAGATTGTTCTCAAGTTCTCGTACCGAAAGACAGAAGTACCTAGTGTGTTAAGTGCAATCACATGAATTCGTAATTATAATTTCATATGCTGTCTCTGCTGTTTCCTACTATGAACGAGTATATAAAATTCCTTTGTTTCTTTTGACGTATGTATGTATTAATATAATGATCAAATACGCAGAGATTGTTATATTATTATTTCTTCGAAAATTTAGACATTATAACTGTGTTATAAGTACGATTAAAATCATGAATTTCATTCATTATCGCGTTAACGATAGCACCCAGAAACAGAAATCAATTAATCACAAAATGACGTAAGACGAAGTGAAGTTTGAAATTATTAAATTTGTTGACGTTTCTGAGTGCTGGCGTTATTTACTTAAGTTATCTTCATAATAACTATATCTCAACCGTCCAACCTGATTCATCATCTCCAGCCAATTATAAAGTCCCCACTACTGAGGCACAGGCTTTCCTTATGAATGGATTAGCGAAATTGAGCCATGACCCAGCACGCGGACCCAGATTCGATCGGATGATGGGTGCTGAAAATGATTTCAAATGCTATTGACACCAACAGTGTAACATCTTTCACTGAGGATCTCGCGAAAATAAATTTTTGGTAACCTTTCCTGTGACCGGTCGTTCCGTAAGTTTCTTAATTTATACGATCACAGTTCGAATGCGTCAAATGCTATGCAAATTTCGCTCAATTTCCTCTGATGAGATACCTAATATCGGCGCCATAGAGCTCCTCTTATGTGATGCTTCATCATCATCAGCCTATTAATGTCACCACTGCTAGAGCACAGGCTTCCCCATGCATTGAATAGGGAGATTGGGCCATTACCCACCACGCGGGACCAGTGGTTTGGTGAGTGCCAACGACTGCCGATGTAGCCGGGACCAACGGCTTAACGTGCCTTCCAAAGCGCGGAGGAGCTAAAGACAGTAAATTTGTGGTCACCCATCCAATTATCGACCACTGCGAAAGTTGTTTAACTTCAACAATCGCAGCTGAAAGTGCTTACGACTTGCGCCACCGAGCACCAATAGATTGGAATATTAATTTTCTGCATTCTTTTACAGAACAAAATGGCGCCAGACTCGGAAAAAAGGCAAATAAGTTTCCCCCAGCTGCATTACCCAGCTAACAGGGGAGAATTCCCGCAGATGCCATTACAATGGATTAATAGCAGGAAGATACATGATGGCGCTGAAGGCTTGTGGAGGATTCACGATGGTCTTTATGATCTGACGCCATTTATTCCAAATCATCCTGGAGGTTCTTATTGGTTGACCTGTACAAAGGTATGTTGCTTGATATACTAATAATATAATTTATCATACTAATGTTATAAATATGAAAGTTTGTATGTTTGTTACTCAATCACGCAAAAACTACTGAACGGATGTTTTGTGCACATATAGTTTATGACTTGGATTAAGTCATAGGATACCTTTTTGGAAAACTGCCAGGTTCCTAAGGGACTTTCAAAAAACTAATGTTAACGCGAGTGAACTCGCCGGCGGCCGCTAGTTTTTTGTTTAAAAATAAAGTTTATCATAATGTTTTAATAACTCAATTATTAGTTATTATTTAAAAAGAAGATTAAGGCTGTTTGCACTTATCTACATTCGACTTTAATCATTCATTTAAAATTTAACTTTTCCTCACATATATTCTGTTTACCATTTCCTAAAAAGGTTCCATAAAATTTCATTAATTATGCTTAAAGTAACTAATTTAGGCACTCGTATCAAAGAAGTCGGAAACAATTCCGTTACCTCAATCTGTTTTGGGTTCGGGTTGAGGTCGAATGGAAAGGGAATCCCCTTTTTATTCAAAGCATCAGAAAACCAGCAATTAGTAAATCACCTTCAGTTGCTTGACTTGTTGGATACCAGATTCTGTACCTTTTATAATCATATGTAGGTACCTACTTATATAAAGATCAAATGAAGTTTGACCACGTTAACGCCTAGGTACAGGTACATGGTGTTTTCTTGCGCTTAGAGAAAAATGGCGACTCGATCACAACTTGCCTTTGCCGTGATTTGCGGAGATAGTAAGTGCGCCTTGAAGGTATTCAGAAGGCGCACTTTAAAAATCAACATTTGATGTTATATTGTTTTAAGCTTTCATGGTCACTATCATTATAGTTATTATCGGGATTGCTATCATGTACCTTGTTACAAGGTACATGGTAGCAATCCCTCTAATAACAATGACATTATGATATATTGTGAACTTTGTCTACATGTCATACCCTGCTCTACGATATCAAAACCTAATAGGATGGACAAAGATATTCACGAAATATACCTAGGTATCGAAAGTATATTTTAAGAGCAGGACTTCTGAGATACACGTGCACAAAGATACATGCGATTTTATTAGTAAATTATTTACAATAGGCAATTATACATTCTTATTATTACTTACATTTCTTTTTACAATACTTCTCGTATGTATAAATTGATTCGTATTATACTTCTATTTTATATAATTTCATTGTTACTAGATTATATGCCTGCTTTTATAAATAGTTTAGGCTACTAATTTAATGCTCACTTACCAAAAAAAACTTTTTTATAAGTAGGTATCTACGTATTTCAGATTAAAGCCTCACATTCTATGAACTATAATATCTATCATTTGTGATTGTACAACTAATGCATTTGTATGTAGAATTGTTTTAATACTCAATAGTCGAATAAAAGCCCGCACTAAATTTAGATGGCTTATCAATAAATAAATTGTTAGCCTCTATTAATCTGTGCCTGCCATTGTGTTCATATATTATTAATATTTCGTTGAAATACTCTGCAGGTATAATGTTGCCTTTTGTTAATTCTGAAAATGGGTGCTACTAGCTTTTACGAAGCTAAAATACTTAAATTTTTGTTTTATATTTTTACAGTAAAAATCCAGCGCATTTTACAAAATAACTTCTTAATTTTCTTAATAATTGTTTTTAATGTATTTAGTTGCTCAATACCATGAAATAGCGCGTACAGGTAAAATAACACAGTTTTTCCTAAAGCAAAGTTATTCAGGGAATTGAAATATTGATGTTTTCGCGGATGTAAACACGCGGCGCAATTGCTAGTAATCCGAAAAAGCTTTTACGAAGCTAAAATACTTAAATTTTTATTTTATATTTTTAAGTAAAAATCCAGCGCATTTAACAAAATAACGTTTCTATTAAAAATTTCTTAATAATTGTTTTCAATTAGTTTTTGATTTGATCTAACAACATTATATATGTGCAAATTTCAAAACATGTTGTGTTTTGTCATTCACTATATGTACTAAATACATAATATGTATTATACATAATATGTATTTAGTTGCTCAATACCATGAAATTGCGCGTACAGGTAAAATAACACAGTTTTTCCTAAAGCAAAGTTATTCAGACAATTAAAATTTTGATGTTTTCGCGGATGTAAACACGCGGCGCAATTGCTAGTAATCCGAAAAAAATGAAAAACCAAACAGTTTCAAATATATTTCTATATTGCCATAGATATTGTCAGAAAAAAACATTGCAGCATACAAAACCCGATACTAAGTCTTACTACAAGAAAAAATAATGTGCATAGTGTTATTACCTATAAAAAGGTTTAATCACCTTCTCAAGTCATCATAGCTTTGTTCCCTTGATTTCAGGGCACCGATATAACAGAAGCATTTGAAACACATCACCTCAAAGGAGTTGCCGAGAAACTGCTCCCAAAATACTTTGTAAGGAAAGCGGTGACGCCAAGAAATTCGCCTTTTACATTTGAAAATGAGGATTTCTATAAAACACTGAAAACAAAGATCATGGAAAATTTGAATATTATACCGAAAGATGAGAGAAATAAAAGCGATGCCATAGTAACGTATTTACTTGCGGCGTTTTTTGTCCTTAGTCCTTTGAGTTGTTGGGCGATATCTGATTATAATTTTCTTCTCGGTGCGATGTTGATAATTTCGAATTCGTATGTCTTGTCCGCTTTAGTTTGTTGTGGTCACAACTACTCTCATAGGGCAGACAATTGGAGAATGTATCTGATGAACCTGAGTGGGATGACTGTCGAGTAAGTTAATATTATAATTTCTAACGTACAAGTTTATGTTTTATGTCGTTTATGTTAGGTAATTTGAAGTAATTTAATACTGATCCATGACCTTATAGGAAAGTGGAGTTCAGTGTTGCCAACTCGGATTTTGAAATAGGCGTGGGCCTGATGAGAAATTTACGTAGAATTAGTAAAATTTGCATATGTAAAGTTCGTAGATCTACGTACTTTTTTCTGAGTGAAATGAAGAAGTTAGGATAGGTGAAACCGAATAAAATGAGTATTTAAAAAAAAGGAGATAAAACATAGAGTTCTTAGAGAAGACGCTGCATTGGCAGCATTTACCATGCTATGGTAGACATTATCGTCAGACACACAGACACTGGTAGGTGTCGATTCTGTCATGATTCTGAACTTAAAACTAAACAACGCTGTTGACCATTTTATGTAGTCTATAGATTTATCTATGCTATGACGTCAAAACATTTGTAAACAAACACGCAAGTACGTAGGAAATAAACTATCTGAGTTTATATTATAATACCATGATTTGTAATAGATTACATAAAAAATATATCAATTATCATGATTGTATTATACAAGAATGTAAAAACACATCGTTAAATATTCCAGAAAAATTGTGGTTTAAATTTTCTAGAAAAATAAACATACCTACACATGAACACATGTTTAAAACTTGCTAAATCCTGTAACTTTATCGACTGAAAGTCATTTCTTTTTGCAAAGATCACTTCGATGTAAGTTCTCATTCAATAATATTTTAAGTTTAAAAATATATTTTTTAAGTTTATGAATGTACCTACTAAGTCAAAGAGCCATCTTCTAATTGTATGAAGTGAAATCGATGTATTTGGGTTCCTCATAACAAAATTATAAGATTTGTATAGATTTTAAGTAAAGTAACGAGTGAGTTATGTTATTTTGCAAATTTGTACAAATGAAAAGAAAATACTTAGATTCTGGGACTGAAGTTAGTAGGCTTGCAGAAAAGGCCTAAAATACGTAGATCTACTTAAAAAGACGTAAAGTTGGCAACACTGGTTTAATACTATGACTATACTTATTAATATGACTAAGGAGAGGATTCTGCATGCCGAAGAGTCCGATATTTAACCCACATCAGTTCTACTAATATTTAAATCAGTATTAACAGTATAACATTCAATATCTCGAGCTATTCTGCTGGCTAAGTTGATATGATACGAAAATTTGCTTGGGCCAACCGTTAACAGTAACCACACACTTTTATTCATTACTATATTTAACTCTGTTATAATAAATCACAACATTCAAATTCTTACAACATCCGAATAAAGCGGTCGCTTAAAAGGAGGCCCACTTGCACCAAAGTTCTTAACATTTTAAAGTTAATCATGTTTAAGCCTAGCATGGTCATAATTTGTCAACGATCTCATTATGACATGGTGCGTTCTCGTGGTGCGATGATTTTCAAACATGCAAAATTCTTGAGAAATGTCCTTTTTATAATAAAACATATAAATTGCTCGTAAGCCGTCGCATGAGCACAGGTATTTTTAATATCGATCATGTAATAAAATACACCGAACTCTTTCGAGTATCCTAATTTGATCCACGAGTTGCTGTGCTTGTGCAATGACACGCGCACAGCAACTCGTGGGGCTCGGGACGAGCGGGGCGAGTGAAGAAGGATATTCCCACAGCAAAAACTATGAATCTCTAGAACCATTGTATAAATGGCTCTGGTGAGTTGATGGCGGTGCGTCATCTTTTTAGGACACCCCTGTTCAATCATCATACAATTTATTTTCTTCGCACGACGAGATCGCATCGTGCCATCGTACAATCGTGGCCAATAAGGATCTATTTCTATTTGACATTAAATTAAACAATTGACAAAGATAAAATGACACTAAACAGGATTAGCTTTCATTTGATTTAAGAATGTTGATAAAGTGACTTTTTGAGTAATTATATTTTTATTATTTTACAGTGAATGGCGGATATCACATGTTCTATCACATCATGGATACACCAACACTGCCAATGACGTAGAGCTGGTTCTATTCGAACCAATGCTTCAATACCTACCATTGCGAAATAAACCTATTTGGGCCCAAATGGGAGCTTTCTATTGGCCCGTAATATATTGCTTTGCTTTTCTAAACGGATTTGTTAAAGAGTAAGTATACTTTTGTCGAAACAAAAATATCTTCCTAATCAAACAGGAAAAAACTGAATTTTAATGATTTCATTTTATGAAAAACAATCAACTAAAAGTTATAAAATATTATGAAACAAATTTACTTAAAATCAGTAACGAATCACATGTTGGTACTCATAATGATGACTATGTACTCATTGAACTGTTTTGTTATATTTCAGAACTTCAGCAGCAATTGCAAAGTTTCAAGGCAAAACCTTGACCTGGGATTTTATCCTACCCTTTGTTCTTCCTACATGGATGCTGTTGGCTGGAGGGTTGCCATCACACTGGACGTTCATAGTCTGGTTGGCAACAATGATGATAGGTAGTTTCTTCTTTGTATTATATGGCCTGACCGCTGGCCATCACGCACATACAAATTTCTTTGAGGGAGATGTGCCAAGGTAACTATTATTTATACTTAGTTAACGTGCATAATAGTATAATCAAACTAGTATTAATTATATGTTAATTTCCGAATTAGTAGTGCGTAAAGGTTCAACACGATAATACATAGTAGTATAGATATAGTTATAATTATGTCTTAAGATGTCAAATTTCTGTACATTAGTGGATTAAGTTTAAGTATACACTGTAGGCAAAGACGTCTCATAAATTTAAGATAAGCTAAAGTCACTCGTTGTCTTAACCTATTGATTCATATACAAAAAAGTGACAGCAATAACTTTAATCAAACTTCAAAATTTATTGACATCTTTAGAAATGTCGGCCGCAAATTGTTGTCCGAAATAGCTGTTAATATGACTACAATTGAAAAAATCTATGGTTTTCTTTCGTTCGCTTCAGCATAAGAGCATACAAAACATTTTTATATTTAAATAAAGAAATAACTATCCATATTTAATATTACAGGAATGAATATATGGACTGGGGAGTGTTCCAGTTGGATACTGTCATAGAGAGAATAGACTATGCTGGAGACAATTTTAAATCTCTCACTCGTTTTGGTGATCACGCTCTTCATCACCTGTTTCCCACATTGGACCACGCAGAGTTGAAATACTTGTATCCAATTTTCATAGACCACTGCAAGAAATTCGACACACAACTTCGTACGACGACATTTTATCAAGCACTGCTCAGTAATGTAAAACAAATCATTAGGAAAAGGCCTTTGAACTTCAGGGACTCACCGCCGCGTCGGTTGAACGGCGTGAAAATGAATTTTTATTCAAATAAATAAAATCATTATAAAAAAGATAACAATCTCATTAATTTAATAATATTGATTACTATTTTTAAAATACAATTTCATTTCATTATATTTAGTTAAATAAACCTCATCGTGTCGTTCCTGGCGCAAAGGTGCCCATCATGCTTGCAGCAATGGCACGCTAGATGGCAATACGAAGACACCTATGCATCAGAAACGACCTGAAGCGGGGGTTATCGGCTTTATTTTCTGAGTCGGCGTCCATACTATTTTTTAGCATCCGCGCCCTAACAACCCGCCGTTTAAATTTTTTATTTGTATTAGGACAATTTTATCGAAATAATGTTTTCTACAGATTGATAATCAACAGTTTTTTTTCCGTGTTATGACTTTTTAATCGTTTCATCCAAGTTTTATCTATTATCTCTTACTATGCCCATTTTCGCGAAATTATAATTTGACTTTCTCACGTCATTTTTAAAGATGCTAATTATTTATATAATTTCTGTCAATTTTCATTGAAGACAAGTACCTAATGATGAGACGGTTATCTGTTCTATAGAATATCGCTTTATGTTTAAGTCGTATATTTAAGTATTAAAACTTTATGTCTTATATTTTTTTGTTAAGATACGTTTGTGTCAAAGGAATAGTGATCCATAAAATAGGCCTCATAATTGTTGGCCTCACCTTTCTAACATTCGGGTACATTGCTTAGATTTCTCGATTATATTGTAACAGATGACAAAGTTAGGAGCGCAATTTACTGTCTACTTATTACAGAACACAGTAAAACAGTGACCAGATTTGACTCAAAGTTTGGATCGATATATGTAAACCACAGAATACAGAAAGTGGTTAGAAGGGTGCTCATATATTGTTTGTACGGGAACCGATATCGCCGACTCGCCCCCACTACACCTACACATTTTTTTTTATTTCGATGACGGGGAGAAAACATGCATTATATCCACGACAATGACCAACGCCACGTTGGTTTGCTGTTAACAAACCCTCGCGACGCAGGTAATTGCGTGGTGCATTCGGCAAGCGGTGAGCAACCCGAGGGCCGCTAGTCGGTGCGGGTATACTTTGACGTGCACTTACGCAAGCGTGGCATACGTCAAACCACCCCGCCTCCGAACAGCAGCCCGGTCCGCACCCGCTTTAGCCGATTCTGGGCTTCTCCGTTCACAGCGTCACCTGACTAGTCTCACGGACCGCAGTCCGAGCGGCTAGCCAGCCGACCAGCTCCCGTACCTACCAGGTAAACCAACTCCCCGATCTACCCCTCACCCTCCAGGCGTAACTGCGGGGTCCAGTTATGAGTCGCCGCTTGTTACGCCTGGGTTCCTACCCTCTCGCGATCGTGCCGCGAAGCACCCTCTCCCTGGTAGTCACAGAAGGTACCGCTAGAGGACTAGCAGGCGGGCTCGGCGTCGCCGACTAGTCCCAGTCTCCACCTAATAGATTCTATCCAATCAAACGACGCAACATCAACCAATCGATCCAATCAGCGCTCACACCCGAGAGCAACGACGCAATCCGAACCAAGTTTTGCTCAAGCTATGAGCATTTGCTCACACATAACTGTGGTGCGCTTACTCCGCCCACAGGCCCTTCTACCCTCTTTCTGTGTTCTGTGATGTAAACATAGTTGTCAAAAGTGCCTAGGGCTCAAGTCACTATTTACTCTGCAATAATATTGTATCCCATTAATATTTACTAAATTCAGTCTTTCAGTTTTGTTATTGACTTAATTTCCTGTGAAAATGTCAACAACGTAGTTTTATGTTTCGTAAGAAAGAAAGAAAATAGGCTATTTGTTAAAATTTTGAAAACGTTCATACTTTATTTATTAAAGTATAGCGAGTCCATAAAAAGTGGATATTTATTAATCTGTTCGAAATTTTTTAATATGCTGCGGTTAAGTTTCTCCAGCATATATGGCATTTTACAGGCAGGTGACGTCACGGCTCTCATTAAAACGTCAAACAGTACAAAGAAATTTCACTTAGATTTATCATTAAATTTTTTATTCTGTGAAATAGCCTATTACATGTTTTGTAAATTGTGAGAAATTAAACCAAGAAAACGTTGGCGTCAATTACGTACGTTTCTTGCGGACTTGATCCTATGTTAGGAGGACATCTATACTTATAATAAATCTGTAGAGAAGTCAATTCTGTACATGAAATATGTTTTCAAAATAACTATCAGGGGATGATTAGTGATCGATGCTAATGCCAAAAATGCAATCAGTAAAATTTTTGTCTGTCTGTCTGTCTGTCTGTGTGTATGTTCCTTATAGAAACAAAAACTACTCGACGGATTTTAACGAAACTTGGTACAATTATTCTTCATACTCCTGGGCAGGTTATAGTATACTTTTCATCACGCTACAATCAATAGCAGCAGAGTAGTGAAGGGAAATGTTGGGAAAACGGGAGAAGTTACTCCATTTTTTAAGCTTCCGTCGCGGGTGCAGCCTTAATGGTTAAAGTTACATAGAAATCATGTATGACGGAAATATTCTACATAAAATTGTCTAAAAAATATCCCGCAACAGCATATGTCTATCTTTTATGGTTGACTCACAATAACACGTGTAATTATATAAATAAAGTCATTGTTTATAGCACAAGCCTGAGAACAAAAACTTTAGTTACACACACTACAGCTCAACACCGAAGCGAAGCGAGGGCGGGCCACTAGTCTTTACTATAAGTCATAATATTTATTGCGTCATGTTGGTTCATTTAGTACTTAAATCTAATAACAGCTCGCAAATATGAGTCCTACATGGGCATCGCAAATTATAATAAAAGTACACAAAATTTAATTTAAAATTTATAAAATTACAATAGTATAAAAAAACATATAATACTTTAATAAATTATAAAATACATTTAGGGTTAGGTCAAGAAATGTATGTCAACAAATTATAACAACTGAGTCGCTAATTTAATTGTTATCAACTGAAAATAATAATAGACTTAGGAAGGAATATTTTATTAAAGTCGAGACTGCTATAGTCGATACCTACAAATAAAGCTATTTTCAATCGATTTCCAAATGTTGGTACTCTTCTAATTTCCCATTGGAAAGCAAAATTCATTCAAAAGTAGCTTAGCTTGTGGCATCTTAGAGAACTTTATTTTCATATACCTATAATACCAACACCAAGTACTTTAGCTTTTCCAATGACACAGGGTAACTTTCGTCAAGAGATAAAAGAATCGCATCATTGTGATTTAATCTATTGTTGACTGACATCTAATGCACCTGTTTGTTCTACAGCAGTGAATAGAAAATAGCTGTCCTCGCCACGAAATCAAATGCAAACGTGGCCTCGACTTTATTTACAACATTATAGAAAATTAAGAATACTTTATCAATGTGAACTGTCTCAATGAAATGGCTGTGGATTATATGAAGACTAATTTTGATAATAAAATGCTAAGACTTTTTATTTTCTTATTTACTCTAGCTTTATGAATGTGTAACAATCTACTTTAACAACATAGTGTTAATGATGAACTTTCGTTTTTTTTTATTACCTAAGCGGTATCCAGTATTATAAGTAATAAGTTTAAAAATTACCATAACATTGAGTCATCCTCCATAGTGTGATCAAAGCAAATCTATACGATTTATCGACACTCAACATGTTGGACAATCTAATATGGTTTTTTGTTGAAAAGGTATGGCAAACAAGCGTGGGCCATACGCTTGCTTGATGGTAAGCGGCCACCAAAGCCTATAGACGCTTGCGATACCAAAAATATCACTCGAACCGTTGCCTACCCTGACCCAATCCTCTCCCAGTGGAGCCCTGGAACCTTGGTCACCGACAAAAACAAAACACCACCAAAAGGTAGTGTTATTTTACTGTGATATTCTGAAAAATAACACTACCTTTTGGTGGTGCTGAAGGTGACGTTGGAAACAGGCGCTCCAATTCAAGTGATAAATCAGCTATGCCCTATCCCTCTTACCTTTCATTAATTTATTAAATTTATTTTCTTTCGTTGTCATGACAGAGAAAGTAGTGTTGGAAATTATTGCAAGACAAAAAGTGTGTGTATTTTGACGGTTGTCCGCCCATGAAGTTTCGTAAAAAATTGATCTAACTTTGCAAGAACTGTGTGTCAAATGTGTACTGATTTTTAGTTCCCGTTACGTCCAAAGTGGCGCTGTTGTTCAAGTTTCCATACAAAATTTGACATTGACATTTCGGTTTGCAAACTATTTGAATTCGATAATGGGTTACAGTAACCCTAGCACTATCCATTATCGATCGAAATTTGCAAACCGAAATGTCAATGATAAATTTTGTATGGAAACTTGAGCAGCAGCGACATAAAGTACGTAACGAGAACTAAAAATCAGTACACATTTGACAATGACATTTCGGACTCGCAAACGATACTAATTCGATATTGGTTCGTGCTAGGGGTACTTATTACTGTTCTTCATTCTCATTTTAGTGATGAGCACTTAGTCCTAAAATTTATCGAATCGGTAATCTTAGCTCATAGACCATAGTATAAAATTGTTACAAAACTATATTATATTATTATATTTAACTAATATAATATAATATCTATAATTATGTTTAGGGCTCCGGTAAAAAAATCACAATTAAAACATTTACCTAGCCCAGCCATACTTCTGTTACAAATGAAAATGCATTTTTTTAAAGTAGAGTAATGTAATATTATTCAAATTTCTACATACTAATTAAAGTCTTAGCAAAAAAATATATATTCTATACGAAATTGCCACCTTTGGCTTTTAGACAGGCCTTTTATCTGTTTGGCCATGAATCTATGGATTTACGCATTAGCCCCTGCAGCCGCCCCACCGCCTTTGATGAAGGGCGAAGCCCTGGCTTCTAGGCTGCTCGAGCTGCAACCACAAGGCGCCAAGTTCTTGGCGTAAGTATAAAAACTAATATAAAGTAATATTAGCCATCCAACGCCAGTGCTTGCTCCAAAGATTTTTTAAGAGATTCAATGTCAACGTGTCGTTTAGAGCAGGCCATGTCCTCTTAAACTGACCATAATTTAAAGTTTAAAGAGTTGAGGTCTGGCCTAGATGAGGGCCAGTGTTCAGCTCTTATAAAGTCCGGAACGTTAGTTTCAAGCCAGTAGTTCGTGCCACGGTATATTTTTAAATAGTGTATTG